CTACGAACACGACCTCCCTACCGACTCGTCACTTACTACCTTACTTACTCGTCACTAGTAGTAATAGTAGATATACTATATACTAACTACTCTCTCTCTCTCTCTCTCTCTCTCTCTCTCTCTCTCTCTATTTTCCAAAGTAACGCAAAGCCGAACAACGAAAAAGTATTTCAAGAGATATTCGAATAAATATACTTACTAATGGCTCATTGTCAGAGTCTCCTGAACCTTTGGCACTTTCTGTGCCAGCCCCATTTTCATCTTCAGAGACACTCTGTTCTTGTGGAGAATCCTTCGCACTCTCAGTGCCGTCCACCTTTTCTTCTTCAGATATGCTCTCTTCTTTCAGTGAATTGGGCTGGTCTTCGCTTTCTTCCATTTGTTTTTCAGCTTGAGCGACACTTTCTTTCTTGTTTCCAGAATCATCTAAATAGATAACATTGGAAAAGTATCAGCCTATCACCTCCGGGTAAGTCGAAATGCAATAGAAAAACGAGCCTCACATTCTCTTGTCTACATGACTAGTCAACAAGCTCTCCCAGTTGTCAAAAGAAATAAGAGCCAAGATGATCAGCGGCTGCAGATGCACGTGGTTGCGGATGCAAGTGAATGAGGATTATAAAGGTCCTATGTTATTTTTTTTCCTGATGTGTTTGTGTGTGAGACAGTGTGTGTGTGAGAGAGAGAGGCACTGAGAAAGAACACTGGAAATGAATATCTCTCGCCCACTCCATTAAAATGAGAAAAATAAATAAACTTATTACAAGTCAAAGGCCACTAAAATCGGAACTTTACCTGAATTCTCTTCTTCACCATCAGAATCAGGCTGCTGCTCTGCATTCTCAACATCAGAACTACCTCTTCTTTCTACATCGTGAGAATTTGTGTCTTCTGATATTCTAACACCATTACTCCTATTCTTCCCAGGATTTCTTCTCTTTCTACCTCTTGGATTTGAGGACCTATAGCAGAATTGAAAATTTAGAAAAGCACTAAATATGGAATAAACAAACAGTGAGAAAAAGCAGCAAATATCTTCCTTACTTCTCAGCTACATGCTTCTTTTCTTTTGATACAGCTGAAGTCTTCGCCTTCTTTACTTTCCTCTCCAATGCCCTATAGTGATATCAATAACAGTCTTTCTTAAAATTCAATAGGATGGAATCAAGGTTGACTACCATTTGTATGGATTAACGAGAAATACAGCAAAAAAGAAAAAACATCAATGGCAGCTATAGACAGGACATCCACCTCCGACAATGAATAGCAGAGATTAACTGTAGCCAGGTGAGTGAGTACCACTGGGGCTACAGCAAACATGCACCGTCCATCATCGGTTATGGACTGACTGACCCTGTGGTGTATCACAAATCACACACTACTGGTGGATGGTGTACTCCTCAGAGAAACCAGTACTTACGTGTCGGTGGAGAGGCTTAGGCTTGGAGCTGCATCTGACTGCTAACAGCATATAGACAGAATTCATTAGAGATTTCATTTTTTTTGTTTTTTTATTTTTTTGTAATTCAACACATTAAAGAACACAAAATAATTCATGAGGATTTGGAATACTCATGCAAAACAAGAGATGGACGTGGAAAACAAGAGAAGGACAAGAACAAAGTGGTAAAGCACTTTCATTTTTTTTTCTTTCAATTTCAGATCACACAACAAATTAACCCCATGAATTGTCAAAACTCTGCTTAGAGCAGTAAGAGACTCATATTCTCGAGGAAAACAAGAGTTCGACAAGAACAAAGTTGCAAAGAACTTTCATTTCTTTTTCTTTCAATTTCAGATCACACAACAAATTAACCCCATGAAATTGTCAAAACTCCGCTTAGAGCAGTAAGAGCCGCATAGTAGATTTTATCCAATATTAAAATCTGCAGAGTATGGTTTGATTCTGGAAGAATGAATTCCATCAATGGTTGAAGCTTATATGGAATTAAGTCCAAAGTTTTGCAATCAGAAGCAAAATTTATGCTGAAATTCAGTAATTTCACAGTCAACATGATTTTAACGCTGAATTTGGCCAAATTTCTTCAAAATTTTAAAGCATGGTAATTGTGACAATTCATGGCCTCTCACACAAGAAAAAAGAAGAAAATGGAGTTGCATTGAGAATTTAAGTAGCAGTAGACTGAAGAACAATACCTTTTCCGAAGTTTGATCCTCCTCAACATAATCCCATATCTCCTTATCCAACCTAAGGTTTTCGACGTCCCCATCATCATATAGTACCTTTGCCCATACAAATAAGCTTGGAATGATTAGTTTGCAACAAAGAGACCGCATTATTGTGACAGATTCGTGAAGGGAGAATCTTTTACCAGGTGTTTCTTTGCTCCTGGATCATATGATTGCACAACACCTTGATAGAACCTACAAGAAACGCAACAAAAAAACATAGGTGAATCATTGTTATTGCTTTTTTCAGTTGAGATGTTTGAATGATGACATAGGACCAGAATGCGGTTTCAAAACTTTCATGATAGATGACTGATGAGCCATCATGGTTGTCAATGAACTAAAGTCATGATAAATATTAGAAATAATACATTACAAGTGAGAACATTATTTCTTTTAAAATTTTAAAAAATACAGGCTCTTCTGTATGTGTGTGCGTGTGTGTGTGTGTTTGTGTGTGTGTGTTTGTGTTTGTGTGTGTGTGTGTGTGTGTGTGTGTGTGCACGTGTGTATGTATGTATGTATGTATATAGATTATAGATAGATAGACAGATAGATAGATAGACACATACAAACACACACCCTTTTCTACTTTTTAATTAACAACCAAAAACTTTGCCTAATACAAAACCATGCATGAGTACTTTCCAAAACCAGCGAGATTGAAAATGTGGGAAAAGCATATTTAAGAACACTGGTATGAACTACACAGTTAGTTCAAGAAACTTTTATAGGACACATCATGCATGGATGCCATTAAAGTTTGCAAGATATTAAGTGAACCACATAAACAGAGCAGAAATGTCGCAATAATTAAATTGACAAAGAAAGCATATCATAAAATGTTGTCCAGAAAGCCATGGAAACATGGCAATTATAATGCTTACTCTTTATCCATGGGCCACCAAACTTGTATTCTGCGTCCAATCAAATCCAAATCACGTTTGCTAGCATTCATCAAACTAGGCTGAAAACTCAGTACAGAATAAGTTTCAGTAACATATCATATTTCTCTCAAAATTGGATAGCAATTTAAAGGAAATATGGCCCTATTTTCACTAGAAGTTCGAACATCCATTGAAGCACATCCTATTTACCTTCTGAAGTTAGAGCTTTGGTTAAGGTATTAACCAGTTCACTTCAATATTCTACTTTAAATGGCTAAGTTAATCATTTCCAAGAATAAAACCTATTAGTGGATCCCCAATGCAAGTCCAAATGGGTGAGTTGATTTCAATGAGTGGGCATGCAAACAATTTGCACTTGTGGGAGGGAAGATCTCTTCTTTTGGCAACATGCCCAATTTGGAAGTCAGCCTAATTAGAAATATTCACTGAATAAGGTGAGAAAAATGTCTGAAGAAAATTAGAAAGGTACACATCCCATTGAGTAAATAAAGTCAGAGCTAACTAGAAAACTTATAGACAACATTATCAGTGAAAGCAAGAAAATCGCATTACTTGAGTAAACCTACTGGAAAACCATAGAAATATTTGGTCTAAACTTCTCCCATATATGGCATTAGATGGACATGGATGTCATCCATTGAACAGTGGAACCTCACTGTAATAGAAGCATTCTGAGAAGAAGTAAGCAGCACACAATCAGAAAAAATTACGATACAAAAATCAGTTCCTTAGGCCAACTCTTGTATTTGACCAAAAAACTGCAAGATAAATGAGTACGGCAATAACTTACTGACACCTCGATGTGAGGGGAGCATCCTCTCATTATCATAGAGTGATGACAAGAAAGCTCAATTGGTTATAGAGTACATTTATAAACCGGGTCACACCTACTTTTCTCCAAAAGATGCATGCGCATGTAGCAGAAAGCTGAACTCAAAATCGGGGTGTTTTATCTACTATATAGAAAGTCATGTGCATAACTAGGATTCTAATTATATTTTACCATGGTATACCAGGAATTGAAGTGCTGGATATAAAAATTCTTCAAAAATCACGTCAGATATATCGATCATGCAAGATTTTGCAGTGTTCACAATTTTGCATGTAAAATTTTCATGCACATGTTCCATTCATAAATAGTCCAGGTTTAGTTTCAAGTTATGAAAACAGTGGTCTCAAGTATATATTAACTGAAACTGTATCGCAAAATTTTTTTTTTTTTGAAGTCAACTGTATAGCCAAAATATTAACAATTGAAAATTTTGTTCTCAAATAAAGAAATGTCCTCTTTGATAATTAGAAGGTATAAAATTAATAAAAAAAATAGAAAGTGCTCACCTTCTCCAATCCTGTAATACTCTTCCTTTTTCGTTTCCTAATCTTCTTATCAGAGTCATGTATTTTAGTGGAATCCTGCAATGTAAAATTGAAGCATAATGTTAAACCATACTGAAAGTATATAAGATGATCCTATGACATTCTAGGAGAAAGGTTACCTTTGAACCATTGCCAGCATCACCAATTGCACCTAGATTTCCCTTCAATCTCTTTGAAGAACCTTTAGCTTTGGATTTTGTTGAAGATTTCTCGTCAGTTGGCAAACATGAGGGCGATAAATCAAAATGGTTATCTGGTTCTGACTTATCTTCCTCCAAAATTAATTCTTTTCCCACATGAGAGTGATCATCAGTCTCATTCAAAACATCCTGAGAATGTCGTTTTCTTGATTTAGGACCTCTCTTAGAGGCCTTTGATTTCTTGGTTTTCACGTTTTTCTTAACAAAATGTGATTCTTTACCTTTATCCTCACCAGCAATCCCTTCATTTGCTTGGTCTTCTAGACTGTCTGAAATTTTTCCAGCTTCTAAGCTCTTTGCTTCTTGCAGACTGTCCAATCCCATTTCCTTAATAACACCCAAAATGTCTATATCAGTCTCTAAATTTTCTCTTTCAGCAGGTAAAATTTCTGCTACTTCATTCTTCTTCTGAGTGTCATGTTCTTTTTTATTCTTTTTCTTAGTCCCATGTGCTTTTAGAATTCTCATTATCTTTCCCAGAGGTACTTCTGTCTCGTATTTATCACTGCTCATTAGATTTTCCCCATCTTTGGTCACTTCAGATTTAACCTGAAAAATCAATTACAGGAGAGAGCGATTAATCTACCAACAAAACAACTAGCAATTAAACAAGGGAAAAGATTGGAAAATAAGCAAACAAGGTACAGGGCATACTCTCTCTTCATTCTCTAAAAACAGAGAATGCAACTGAGCTACGACATCATCACCAGCCAACCATGAAAGTTGCTGCTCCTCACTGGCCTGAATCACGTATATAACAACAATAGTTTCCATTATGCAGAGAGGACAATTCAATGGACAGCTTAATGCTCAGACGAGGAAGAAAATCTGAGTCTGACCAAAAGTCCAGCACTGATGCAGAGCAAATCAAATCTAATGTCTCCGAATTGTCACTTTAAAAGGGAACATGAAATCAGAAATCATGTATTCAAAAAATAAGTTTCATTTCTCCTGGGCATTTCTTGGTTAGAGCCACTTACCAGCCATTGACAAAGGAAATGAGAAAAATAGTATGAATCTTAAGGAAATAATAATCAGGATAATTAAAATGAGAAATGAAGAAATAGAATGGCACAAAAAATCCGAAGTTAGATGAATGTAGAAGGGGTGGCTGCTTTTTTCCGTAAGATTGCCAGTGCTAAAAGCTTGGAATCTCACATAGTTGGGGTTTGTGAAGGTTCTAAAAAATTTACAGGTTGCTGCTCTCTCCACCACTACATAGTTTTTCAAGTCAGATTTCCTCACCACTGCACGAGGCTTCATCTCGTATTATATCTCATACCTTGAACAACCTGTTTATGAATTTTTATCAACATTTGGCAGTCCATGTTATCCTAATCTAACAGTTATTACTACCACAAGGTTTACTTCAGTGACTCCAGAACATGTTTTTCTGAGATAGAGTACTAATCACAAGAAATATCATTGCCTTGACCCCTCTACAAGGAAGATATATATCTCATGACATGTCATATTTGACAAGACAGCTTTTTTGATGCTTTTATTCTCTTTTCTTCAATCCCATACAAGTTTCTCACAGTAACTCATGGCAACCTTCCGGCCGACGACCAATCTGCATCCAGAAGTCAATGATATTCATTCTTAAAGCAGGTGTCAAGTTGGAAGTCACATCCTATTGTTTCATAACAATCTCTCTGAACCTAATTTGCATAACGTGCAAGGGGGAGCACCAATTCTTAGCGGTTCGCAGCTAGGATGGGAAACACCATACAATACATATATATGTGTGTTTGCGTGTATTAGTTGAAACAATTAAACTATCCAGATAGAAAAATTCAATATTTATTGCAAAGTATGTTAGAAACTAAATGTTTAACAGCTGAAAATACTAGTGAATAGAACTCTTTCATATTTACTGGTTACATCATCTATCTCTTACCACAAGCTATTGCACGTCTCCATTGTGATGGAGTTTGTAAAGAACCCGAATCAGGGGCATTGACTCTCGTGCTAGAGCTACAGGAATTGTTGATGAAGCATGGGTACTTGGTATAATAGCATATACTTGTTTAGCTGTTGTACATGTTTCCTGACAGGTAGGGAACATGTTACTGTTGGTTGGTGACGGTGGTTTCAACTTAGAGGAACTGTGATTTGGGGCAAGGTTCAGGTCACCATATGTGGAACAGTGGTTCACAGGTAGGAGTACAGAACTAGCTGGGGGGTCCCTGTTACTTGGCTTTGAACTCATCCACTATGACATCATCTGTAAATCCAAATGCAATCCAGTCCAAAGTGCGAGTGGTTACACATTGGAAAAATATTCATGCATGTCAACATGCGGCCTCATTTGCCACTTCTTACTCATCAGAAAGTCATAGGCCTTTCTTCCTGAGCTTAAAGGTTTTATTCGACCTTCAAATTACACTTTTACTGCCAATAGTCCATTTTCTGGAGATGCAAGAAGAAGTTGAATGGCATTTTTTCTCTTTAAACCAAGGCTTATATGGAATTTCTCAAGTTGCTCTCATGAGAACTCATTTCTTTGCTAACCTATCCAATGTCTTTGATAGTTATTCCACTAACAATAACGCATGCTCATCCCATAATGATACACTTTTAGTTTCTTCTCCTCTATTGAATTTTTATAACCAATCAATAAACAAAACAAGAAAGTGGGTTCACCTCAATCCAAGCATAACTACTTTTCCACCTCAATCTCAAGACATTTACGTGATATAATATCAGCTTGCAAATATAAATTAGGAAAACATACAGCATAAATTATGCTAAAGCAACTCACCTGGGAATCATCACCTTCATTCCTCACAACAGGCCTATAGAGCATTGAAGGAAGTGAAATAGATTGAGAAGAGCATGTAGACTCCACTTCATTGCCCACTAAATGCTTCACTATAGACAGGCCAAGATCACATATTGCATGTGCATTCTGTCCAGTATCAATCACATGATAAGATAACACAGAAAAAACATAGTGTAATGCATATCACTCATACTGCCATAACCTATGTTACAAGGACATAGAGACAAAAATTCATGCCTGACTCATATCTGAAGAATCTGAATCCTACCTATATTTTACCAAGTGCAGTATGACACCACAGAATAGGCGCATATAATCATACATGTCCATATATATTTATAAATAAATTTTATTTACACAATTAAACTAACTTAAACAATGAAACATGAGAGTCCAAATCAAAGCTGCATATGTCCAAATCATAAGACATGTGCCCACATGCCTTACAAATGGAAAAGTGTCTTAAATGTGGACATGTATGTCTTACAAAACAGCCACACATGTCTTACAATGCGGAAATTCGTGTCTTACAAAACAGACACGCATCTTCATCCAATCTATGAATTGTGTGTCCACATAGCAGACATGTCGTGTCTGCAAATCCAAAAAATAAAATTCCAGACACATGTTGACATGAATTTCTCGTGTCTGTGTGTGTCTTGTAAGTTGAAATGTGTGTCTAGTGCCTTGGCCTATTGGATTAACTCATACAGCATGCATGTCCTTGTTAAATATCAAAGAGTAAATGCATCCATCAAATTTTTGAACAATGATATACAGACCTTTGACTTACTTCCATCAACCACATCTTCTGAACACTTGATACCATGAAATATTGACATTATTGCAGACAAGCTCTCTTGTTTCTTTCCAGCACTAGTCTCGTATTGTCCCTCTCCTTGAGAGACCAGAGAAGAGAGAAATGTTTGCAACACCCTGAAAGACGCAAGACATTAGTGCTAACAAAATGGAGAACAACCCTAAGTTAATTGTATTTTCTTAGTTCGGAAATCAATTCTTTTGTTTTTTGAACGTAGGATTGAAATTAATAGCCTAGGGTGCAACAACAAGAGGTCCAAAGTCCACACCACTAGGTTACATAAGAGAATCTATTGCATCAGATGCACCACACATGCACATACATATGTATTTGCATGTGGATGTGTATTATGAGAATTCAGTCCTGTGGACAACTAGCTGCACTGATATCTGACGCACAGAACCATGAGCCACTGGAAGAGTACAATTCAATGTGTTGACAACAAATTTTACTAAAGGCACCATTATGGGGATGAATGGACTCATAAAAGCAACAGAAAATCCAACAAGAACCAAGCATACCGGTAAACTGGTTCAAATTCTTTAACATCAACACACTCAACCCCAGGGAATGCAGGATGATGCACAAGAGCATGGACCAAATATGAGAGAATATGCTCTGGATAAGCTATCTGCAGGTTCCCATTGGATTGCAGAAAAACATGCCGCCCCTTCACTTCACGTCGATACATATCAACTATTTCAACTATATTATGCCTGTCCTGTGAACAAGAATAGATCCAAGTTAGCGAACCAAAGGAAATCTCATACTCTGCATATATGTAAGCACAAATACTTGTACCAAAAGGAAATGAGGGAGAGGGCACTGAAGGAACTGAATGATGTAAAGCTCAAGATTATAATGACCTCTTTAAAGTCAGTGGATCCGAATATGCCAAACAGAAAGGCACAGGCATACTTTCCATCCACAACCCTGTCCTTCAAATATTGATGTACCTTGCTGAGGAATCGATTCCTAACCTGAGGGTAACCATCCTGCAAAACAAGATGATAATGGAAATCTTAGGAACTCAGCAACAAAGGAACAGCCTCATCTTGATTGGAACTGTAGTACTGTATAGGTTCAGATGGAACTAATCAAATCAAAGTAAAACAGCTTAAATATAAGAAGATACCAACATACAATATTGGGAAGTAGTCCAATCAAACCTGTGCAGTTCTTAAGACTAAATGAAAAACATCAACAGGTATTATATGATCCCAATGTTTCGACAAACGTAAAACTGCTTTTGCTGAAGCAAGTCTTAAATGAGCTTTATCCACTTCACTGCAGTCAAAGAAAGCATTTCAGAGTGAAAATGCAACAGCATATTCTCAAATCAGGTATTCCGTAGGCCATGCAGGTAAAACAAATCAAGAAAATTCACACTCTTTTGAGGAACACATTTTTTCCTGCATACCTCGACTTAATATCCTCAGAAAGCTCCCCAAAGGTTAGAATGTTTTTTAGCATCCTTAAAAGCTTATCAATACCGGTCCGCAACTGAGCGTCTTTGGCAGGTAAATAACTCATTACCAAAGTTTTAATACCATATATCTGCAGTGCAAAAACATTAGGCAGATTCAAAGCATAAAAAATATGGCAGAAGATCCATGTTTCACAACGCAGAAATTATTGAGAATAATCGTTGAAAATATTGTAAATTGTCAGGCACAAATTATCCAATAACTCATCACCAATTTTATTTTGATATGCCAATGAGGAACAAAGGAAAATCAAAATTCTTTCCAGGTAGACTTGCCTTCAGCAAACAAAGGTCACTTCTTTCATCCCATTCTTTCTTCAAAATATCTTCAGAAGTCTGAGAATGCAATAGAATAACATTTAAGCACCAATAAAAATTAACCAAATGAAGGAAAGGATGATATAAGGTACACATCTGTCAGAAGAATACATAAGGCATACATTACTGCAATTCAGAACTTCGTTTTGTATAAACCCAAGAACCTCCTCCTCTCTGGTTTCAAAAACTGGCATTGCGATCTGAGCTATACAGCCCAATGACTGAAGTATGGCAGGCAGATGTGTTTGTTTTTTCTCCAGCATATCCACAAGCCTCTGTGGTTCCAGCAAAAAGGAGATTCCAGTATTTAAGCATTTCGTAGCAACCAAAACGGGGAAAAGAAAAACAAAATGAAGCGAAAGGTCCCCTAAGGGGTAAAAGAGAATGAGAAACTGAAACTTATTGTTGATTTTGAAAATTACAAAACTAGAAGTTATGGGTGTTCTGATGAAGGATTCAAAGTTAACACAAAAATGACCAAACACAATTGTCAGTTATGAAAGTGACAACTTTTGCAGCTAAGTGTGTCTATGTCCGTGTGCTTGTGTGCGTCAAGAGGAGTGGGTGGCAGAGCACTGGTAATGGAGGGTCAGTGTTTAATTGATCTCAGTGATGGCAGAGCTCGAGCTCTGCTGTCTGAGACATTCTCTCTCTCGATCTCGATCTCGATCCGATCCTTGTCCACATATTGGGGGCAGGGGGGGGGGGGGATGTTGGTGTGGACGTGGAGTTGGGGAGAGAGAAGGAAATATTATCTGCCTTCCTCACAGAAGCCCTAGTTTGAAAAGGTGAGTCAAATACATGTGTGTGTGTGTGTGTGTGTGTATATATATATATATATATATATATATA